CTTCTTAATCTCTCTCTAAACTCTTAAGGATTACCACAACTTTGGTATCTCTTATATAAAGGAGATAAAACACATCATAATCCTAATGGATAAACACTTTAACATTCATAGATAACTCCTAAGAACTTTCTAGATAACTCCTGGATAGAAACTTTCCTTTTCCTAAACTCTTTAAGAAACTTGCTACTCAAGCTTTGATCAAGCTTATTCCAACATTCTCCTCCTTAAGCTTGAACTCTATCTTTGACAAATCTTGAATCCAAATTAGCTCTCTCATTTCTTTGAACTTAATCCTTCCAAGCGCTTTGGTTAGGATGTCCGCCCTTTGCTCTGTTCCCGGAACATGTTCGACTTCGATCAGCTCACTTTCAACACATTCGTATAAAATGATATCGCCGGTGAATGTGCTTATTGCGACCATGGAAAACTGGATTTTTAGTGAGTGCTATAGCAGATTTGTTGTCAACCCGAAGAACCACTCTTTTACTTGTTGAACCAAAAATCTCGCTAAACAATTCCTGCAACCAGATTGCTTATTTCGCCGCTTCCGTAGCCGCCATAAACTCTGATTCACACGATGACAATGCAACAGTTTCCTGCTTCTGTGATGCCCAAGTAATCGGGCATTCATTAAGATAAAAGATGTGCCCTGTCGTGCTTCTACCATCAGCTAAGTCTACACCGAGACTACTATCGCTGTATCCTATCAGACCCGGTTTTGCCTTTCGTTTGAATGACAGACCATGAGCCATTGTCCCCTTGAGATATCTCAAAACATGTTTTAAAGCCGCCCCATGAGACTCTTTTGGCTCTGTCATATATCTGCTTAGTATACCTACACTGTAGGAGAGGTCAGGCCTTGTTTGTAACAGATATCTGAGGCACCCAATATTCCTCCTGTAGTTCAATTCATCAACTTTCTTTTCCTCCTTAGCTTTTGACAATCGAAGACCTGGATCCATAGGCACTTGTGCTGCATTACAGTTATTCATCCCAGCTTCCTCAAGAATTTTTCTTGCATATCTTTCTTGCTTTAACATAATGCCATTCTCATGTTGCAGAACTTCTATTCCGAGATAATATGTGAGCTTGCCAAGGTCACTCATCTCAAACTTAGTCGCCATTCCCCTTTTAAACTCGAGAATTGTATTCGGACTAGAGCATGTAACCAATAAGTCGTCGACATAAACAGCAACCAGAAGAAGATCCTCTTTGTCTCGTTTCCAGTATAAAGAAGGTTCCTTTGAGCACTTTACAAAGCTTAGCTCTCTTAGTATCTTGTTGAGTTTGTTGTTCCATGCCCTTGGTGCTTGCATTAGACCATAGAGTGCTTTGTGTAGTTTATACACCTTTCCCTCACTCCCTTCAATCACAAAACCTTCTGGTTGGGTAACATATACTTCTTCCTCTAATTCTCCATGTAAAAACGCAGTTTTTACATCAAGATGATGTATTTTCCAACCATTGGATGCAGCTAAAGAGATGATGAACCGAACTGTTTCGATACGCGCCACTGGAGCGAATACTTCATCGAAATCTATCCCATGTCTTTGTACATAGCCTTTTGCAACTAATCTCGCTTTGTATTTGTTGATGCTCCCATCGAAATTACGTTTTGATTTAAAAAAACCCACTTTAGTCCGATTGGTTTAGCTCCTATGGGTAGATCGACTAAGCTCCATGTTTTGTTCTTGACAATTGAGGAGATTTCTTCGTTGCAAGCTCTTCGCCAGGCTTCCGTTTTGTTTGCTTCTTCAAAACTCCATGGTTCATCGTTAATGGCTAAATGTAGATATTCTCCTTCATAATCCACTTCTGCCAGACAACCAAAATCCTTCAAATACCCTGGTTTTCTAACCTCTCGAGTAGACCTCCTCAGAGGAAGAGAATCTGCTTCTGCTTGTTCAGGACTCGCATTATCGTGAACTGGGTGAGGCTCTGTCTCAAGATATGCCGGATGTTTTTCTTCCCCATCGGTTCCTTCTTCTGCTACAATCTCGTCTTCTTCAACTCTGTTTACATCAGTGGCTCTGTTCTCCTCTGTTCTCATGTCATCATCGGTGTTGTTTAACCCATGATTTCTGAACTTTCCAAAACTAAAGGAGAACATTCCTGGTTCCTGGTTATTCTCTCCTGAAGCTTTCCACTTCCAGACTCTGTTTTCGTCGAAGATGACGTCTCTGCTCACTATAACTCTGCGATTACTTGGATCCAAAATTCGATAGCCTTTTGTTCCCGGTTCTGTTCCCAAGTGTACAAGAACTCGAGATCTATCGTCAAGTTTTCTTTGATGTGGAGTTTCTACTTTCGCGTATGCTACACATCCAAATATGCGCACGTGCTTGACATTAGGTTTCTTCCCTTTGTAAAGGCTTCGTATGGAGTTTGTGAATCCAAAGATCGTGTTGCGAATCTGTTGATCAAGTAAGTAGCATGTCTGACAGCTTCTCTCCAGAGGTAATTCGGTACTCTCATGTGTTTTAGAATACTTCTGGTCATCTCCATGAGCGTTCTATTTCTCCTCTCTACCACACCGTTTTGTTGGGGTGAATAAGGAGCGGTTAAATGCCAATTGATGCCTGAAGTTTCGCAAAAACTCTGGAAATCCTGAGATACGAACTCTCCTCCTCTATCTGTACGAAACGTTTTGATGTTTGCTCCTGTTTCTTGCTCAACAGTGGCTTTGAATCCTTTAAATCTTTCAAACGCATCGCTTTTCTCCTTTAGCAGAATAGTCCACATATATCGCGAATGGTCATCGATTAGCACAAATATGTACCGTTTCTGTGCTGCTGTGGATGGTGTGATGGGTCCGCAAAGATCTCCATGTATCAGTTCTAATACCTTTGTGGCTCGATACGAGGTTGCTTGTGGGAAGCTTCTTCGTGTTTGTTTACCAAGCAGACATGAGACACGAGTTTCTTTCTCTTTTGGAATGCCTTCTATACCAATTACTAACTCCGTTCTCACCATTGTCTTTATAGTTTCTGGGTTGACATGTCCTAGTCGGGAATGCCATTGAGAACTGCTTGTTGTTATCAGCTGCAAACACCTAGTTGCTTCGACCTCTAAGTTGACTTTGTACAGCCTGTTCTTTGATCGATTTGCTTTAATTAATAGCTGACCGTCTTTGTCAATCAATGTAAGGAAGTCTTCCTTCGTTCTTACTTCACAGCCACACTCTGTAGCTTGACCGAAACTTATAATATTACTCTTTAAATCTGGTATGAAGTAAACATTAGTTAAGACCTTCCTTTTACCACTTTTGCTGAGAAAAACAATCGATCCTTTTCCTTTGATATCGATGCGCGAGTCGTCTCCGAACCTTACTTTCCCTGTGACCGTCTCGTCAATTTTGAGAAGCAGTTCCGATTCCCCGTCATGTGATTACTCGCACCGTTGTCCAGATACCACACCTTATCTGAACATACATCGAGATTTTCTGGTCTCACCTTTTTCTCGTTGAGAAAAACGATTTCATGCATCATGAGTTTCTCTACTTCATGCGAGTCGTCTTCTTCATTCTCTTCTGTTTCTTGTAATTTTAACAACCTGTCAGGACACTCTGAAGCATAGTGCCCTGTTTTGTCACACCTGTAGCAGACAACTTTCGATTTTTCTCTCTGCTGATATCCAAATCATCCGCGGCCTCTACCTCTTCCAAATCGTCCTCTACCTCTGCCTCATCCTGAAGTTTCTTGATCCTTTTGTGAGTCTGTGTTGGCGTACATCAATTTTCCCTGTTCTTCCTGCGGTTCTTCGTCATCACAGATTCTTTCCTCATAGGCTTTGAGTCTTCCCAAAATATCTTCAAAGCTTGTTGTTTTTAAATCGAGGACTTGCTCAAGTGCTGCAACGATGTGTATGTACCGCTTCCTTGGTAGACTCTTAAGGAACTTTTTCACAATCTTTGTTTCCTCAATATTTTCTCCTAAGGTAGCCGACTTTGTAGATATCTCTGATAGCTTTCCAACAAAATCGTCTATTGTGTCCGTATCTTTCATCTTCAGTTTATCAAATTCGGCCATTAGGGTCTGTAATCTTGCTTCTTTAACTCTGTCTGCTCCAAGATGTCTAGTTTTTATCGATTCCCAAACGGCTTTTGCAGTTTTCAGCTCCCCGATCTGTAGTACTAACGCATCAGGCACGGACTGAAACAGAAGTCCTTGTGCTAAGTCGTTTTTCTCGGCATCTTCTGATCCTGGGTCGGTGGTGTCCCATACTTTATTTATCATGAGCAATACTCTCATCCGCATTGCCCAGACTGTGTAATTAGTGTTGTTGAGCATCGGACACTGGATGGTTGTAGAGGAGCTTCCCTCTTTTGTTTTGGTTGTCGCTGTGACGAGATCTCCCATGGTTGTAGGGTTTTGTTTGCTCTGATACCAAATATAGAATTTAGAACTTAGATCAAGAAATAATAAAGCAACTTCTTTATTAGCTTTAGAAAATAACTCAAAACTAAAGCTTCTTAATCTCTCTCTAAACTCTTAAGGATTACCACAACTTTGGTATCTCTTATATAGAGGAGATAAAACACATCCTAATCCTAATGGATAAACACTTTAACATTCTTAGATAACTCCTAAGAACTTTCTAGATAACTCCTAGATAGAAACTTTCCTTTTCCTAAATTCTTTAGGAAACTTGCTACTCAAGCTTTGATCAAGCTTATTCCAACATTCGAGACCAGTTGAAGTTAATCATCATGGGACGATCCAGTTTCAGGGACTTTAAGAATTTAATAAAAATATTCAATTTCGCATATAAATAGGTTTTGGAGGCACAACCAAGATCTTTGAAGCAGCCAAGAAATCTCTCGAACTAGTTTATCAAAGGTGGCTGCTGAAACATAACATCTAACATGAAAATTAACATTAGAAACATCTCAAAATGATAAAAAGGATAGAGATTCTTCGCCAAAAGACAAAACAGTGACAGAGGAAAAAAGAAAGAGAATTAATTTGATGAAAAGTAAAGACATCATCTGTTGTTTTCGTCTAACATGTCAAAGAGAAGCCAGCAACATTCAGGTTCTTACATTGTTTCAGAGTTTCACAGAAAATCATAATCAACAGCGCCAAAACTATCATTGTAATAGCACCTTTTACCGTCCTCTGCCACAAACTCTTCCTTGATACAGATTCGTAGTCACCGTCGCCGCCAATACCCTCATTTTTGTCTTCGGAGGCTTCTCCATATTGAGATTCATTGTCTTCTTTGTCAGAGGCTTCACCAGATTCAGATTCAGATCTCCCGTTAGCAATACAATCATCGTCATCTTCTTTTTCGTGTGAGGCTTTGCAGGATTCTTCTATAACCGAGTAATCACTTCCATCGTCATCTTCTTCTTCGTCGTCGTCAATATCCTCATCATTTTCTTGGGACGCTTCTCCGGAATCAGATTCATCATCTTCTTCTTTGTATGAGGCTTTGTCAGTAACCCAGTCGTCAACTTTTTCTTGGGACGCTTCTCCAAATTCAGATTCATCTCCAGATTCCCCATTGTTGTTGCTTACATCTGTTTCGTCCATCAAAATCTGGAGACCACACTCTATAATGTCAAATTCGTCGTCTTCGCTGCTGAATTTGAGCACTATACTTCTGCTCACTTCAGAGGGTTCGATAACAGGCAAGCGTTCGTGAAATATAAATAAATGTTTTGTTTGTTGTGAAAACTAGAAACTTTATTAATCACTGGAATGTATATATAGAGTACATAGGGAATCTAGGTTAAGTACAATGCCCTGATGGGCCTAATGGGCCGGTATAAGAGTCCATATATGATATGTGTTATAACACTCCCCCTTGGACGAGTGAACCGGGCCAGCTACTCAATCGGGATCTCGATAATGCGCTGGGGAATGTTGCCTCATTAAAACCTTACCAGGAAAAACCCAGTGGGACAAAACCATGGTGAAGGAAAAAGAGTACAACACGCATTACTCCCCCTGATTGTAGCATCACTGCAGATCTCTAAGTCTATACATTCCTATCTGTTTGACGAGCTTCCGGTGTGTTGAAGTAGGCAATGATTTGGTGAAGAGGTCAGCTGAATTCTCACTGGATCGGACCTGCTGAACGCTGAGAGTGCCGTCCTTCTGCCAGTCTGAGGTTGAGAAGAACTTCGGTAGAATGTGCTTCGTCCGATCTCCTTTGATATATCCTTCCTTGAGCTGAGCTATGCATGCCGCGTTGTCTTCATACATCACCGTGGGCTGTGTGTCTTCGTCCATACCACAATCTCTGTGGATGTGCTGAGTCAAGGAGCGCAGCCAGACGCATTCCCTACTAGCCTCATGAATGGCTAGGATTTCAGCATGGTTTGATGAAGTGGCAGTGAGTGTCTGCTTCATTGATCTCCAAGAGATGGCTGTTCCTCCATGCGTAAAAACGTAGCCAGTTTGAGGCAGTGTGCGGATCTGATAGATATCCTGCATCGGCAAAGCCGACTAACCCATCTTTATTTTTGTTAGTATAGAAGAGTCCTAAGTCTTGAGTACCTCGAAGGTATCTTAGGAGATGTTTTATACCGTTCCAGTGCCTCTGAGTTGGGGATGAACTATATCGAGCGAGGAGGTTCACGGCGAAACATATGTCTGGTCTAGTGTGACTAGCCAGGTACATTAACGCTCCTACAGCACTGAGGTATGGCTTTTCAGGACCAAGGATTTCTTCATCATCCTTTTTGGGACCAAGAGGGTCATCACTTAAGCTTCTAACTACCATTGGGCTGGTCAATGGGTGAGCTTGGTCCATATTAAATCGCTTGAGTACCTTTTCGATATAAGCCGATTGATGCACAAGGATTCCTCCTTTGATGTACTCAAGTTGTAATCCCAAACAGTACTTTGTTTTGCCTAGGTCTTTCATTTCGAATTCTGCTTTTAAGCAGTCGACTGTTTGGGAGATCTCACCAGATGTTCCGAGGATGTTTAGATCATCCACGTATACTGCTATGATTACAAATCCTTTGTTTGAGTACTTCTTGATGAAGATGCATGGACTGATGGGGTCATTTTTGTAGCCTTCTTTGATGAGGTAATCGCTGAGGCGGTTGTACCACATACGCCCACTTTGTTTCAGTCCATACAAGGATTTGTTCAGCCTGATGCAGTATTGATCTCGAGATGCATTTTTGTCTTTTAGTTCAATGCCATCTGGGAGTCTCATATATATTTCGTTGTCCAGGGGCCCATAGAGATATGCGGTTACAACATCCATTAACCGCAGATCAAGATTTTCTCTTATGGCCAGACTTATGAGGAATCGGAATGTTGTTGCATCCACCACTGGAGAATAAGTCTCCTCATAATCGATTCCGGGTCTCTGTGAGAATCCTTGTGCTACAAGCCGTGCTTTGTATTGAACGACTTCACCGAGTTCGTTCCTTTTGCGCACAAAGACCCATTTGTGGCCCACTGGCTTGATGTGTGATGGGGTCCGGATGATCGGACCGAACACGTTTCTGAGTTTGAGACTCTTTAACTCCACGTTTATGGCTTCTTTCCATTTTAGCCAATCTGTTCGATGTGTACACTGTGTTATTGACGTGGCTTCTAGATCCTCTTGCGTGAGCGCAACATCAAGTGCTACTTTGTATGCAAAGAGTGCATTTAAGTCGACTTCTTTTCGATTCCATTGTATTCCGGACATATTGTAATTGATGGAGATCTCATTGTTATCTTCTGAACCTGGAGATTCGGCGTCCCGAACTTCCATTGAGGGTTCATTAGATTGAGTCTCAGCCGCGGCTATGTCTGATATTGCAGGAATCCCGGTTTCGGTTATTGCACCTTTCTTTGATTTCCGGGGATTCTTATCTTTGGAACCGAGAGGTCTGCCCCGTTTGAGACGTGGTGCAGACTCTGTAGCAACTTGGGTCTGTCCCGTTGGGACAGCTATTCGTACTGGTGCATTACAAGCTGGGATGTACGATTTGGTTACTTTGGTCGGGTCAGCAAAGGAATCTGGCAATTGATTAGCTAGCTTTTGATAATGAATAATCTTTTGGATCTCTGAATCACATTCTAGAGTCCGAGGATCTTGCCAATTTAATGATGTTTGATTCCATGAAAGATCTTTGACCAGCTTGTTTGTCTCACCACCTAAAGAGGGATATACCGATTCATCGAATTGGCAACCGCATATCTGGCCTTGAAGAGATCTCCAGTGGTTGGCTTGAGATATCTTATGATGGTGGGAGAGTCAAAACCAACATATATTCCCATCCTTCTTTGAGGTCCCATTTTGGTTCGATGTGGTGGAGCAATGGGTACATATACTGAACACCCAAATGTTTTGAGATGGGAGATGTCTGGCTCATGACCCGAGAGTAGTTGGGATGGGGAATATTTGTGTTCACTAGATGGCCGGATGCGTATGAGTTCAGCAGCATATAATACTGCATGTCCCCATGCTGAGGCCGGGAGCTTTGATCTCATGAGTAATGGTCGGGCTATCCATTGAATGCGTTTAATGAATGATTCAGCCAATCCATTTTGAGTATGGACATGTGCTACAGGATGTTCCACGGTTACCCCCATGGCCATACAGTAGTCATTAAACGCTTGTGAGGTAAATTCACCAGCATTGTCAAGGCGGATAGTCTTTAGTGGGAAGTCAGGGAAATGGGCCCGCAATTTGATGATTTGGGCCAAGAACCTAGCGAAGGCTTGGTTCCGAGAGGACAAGAGACAAACATATGACCAACGGGTCGATGCGTCTATAAGGACCATGAAGTACCCGAATGGTCCGGAAGATGGATGTATAGGTCCACAGATATCGCCCTGGATTCTTTCTAGGAAATGAAGTGTTTGTTTAGAGATTTTAACTGGTGAAGGCCGAGTGATCAATTTGCCTTGAGAACAAGCTGTGCACATGAGGTGTTGAGGATAAGCTCGGTTTTCTTTGAGGGTATGCCCTTGAGAGTTTTGAATTAGTTTACGCATCATATTTGCACCGGGATGACCGAGCCGGTCGTGCCAAATAGTATAATCAGTAAACCGGGCTTTGAGAGTGGTATTAGCTTCAATCATACTGACTTTAGCATGGTAAAGTCCAGTAGAGAGCGCGGGTATGGTTTCGAGGATTTGTTTATGGCCGTCTACGGTTTTAGTGACTAGGAGGGATTCTTTGTTCCCTTGACCTTGGGTTTCTATGTGGAAACCATTCTGTCTTATATCCTTGAAGCTCAGAAGATTTCTCTTCGAACTAGGAGAATATAGAGCATCTGGTATTTCAAGTTGTGTGCCATTTGATAGCAACACATAGGCATGGCCATATCCTTCGATAAGGTTTGAGGGACCCGCGATGGTGCTAATATTTGCGGTTTGATAGGTTAGGTTTATGAAGTAACTTTTGTTTCTTAAGATAGTGTGGCTGGATCCACTATCTACGACTATGGTTTCCATTTGCTGGTGTGCTTCATTATGAATAGAAGATAGAATTCAGTATTGAAGAATTCAGAAAATGTGATAAATCATAAAGTAAAGCAGTGTCTGAGAATAAAGGCAAATGGAAAAAAAAAAAAAATAAAGAAAAAAATCAAATTGTATCAGAGTTTCAGATGATTGAATTAATCGAGGAGATCAGCTGTTTCATAGTCCATGGGGTTGGTCTGCTCGTTTGTGGTGTTCTCATCATCAAGGAGGTCGTCACCTTCCAGGTTAGCAGCATCGACTGGCTGAGTCATGTTGGCTTCAGCAGGAGCTTTTCCGTACTTCTGGTATAGATCGCAGTGGATCTTGGGGGTGCGACATTGCTTTGTTGGGTGGTTGAACATCCCACATCTGGTACAAGCAGAGTGATCGGGGTTGGTGTGGCGGGTCGGCTTGGTGATGCCTCGACCACGACCAGGACCATAACTGAGGTTAGGTCGGTTGCCACGACCATGTCCGCGTCTACGTCTTCCACGTCCATGTCCTCGGCCATTACCACGTCCATTACCACGTCCACGGCGGTGATCTGAGGATCTATCGGGTTGAACATGGTAGGACTCTTGACGAGAAGCTGGGACAGGAGCCGATCCCGGGGGCCTCATAGCGCTGTTCCTCATAAGCAGCTGGTTATTCTTCTCAGCGAGGAGAAGACAGGACAACAAGTCTTCGTACAATGTGTGTTTCATTGCACGGTATTGTTGTTGGAGCACAACATTCTCTATGCTGAATGTGGATAATGTTTTCTCGAGGAGATCATTATCTGTCACATTCTCGCCACAGAGTTTCCGGATGGCAACAATACAAAAGAGTTCGTTGTTGTAATCATCTACGGATTTGTAGTCCTGGAACCGAAGGTTCTTCCAGTCGAAATCTGCCTGAGGCAACTGGACCATTTTCTGATGGTCATATCGCTTTTTCAGCGCTTGCCACAATTCAAGTGGATTCTCAAGAGTGAGATATTGCTGCTTAAGGCTCGGGGCCAGATGATGGCGTATGTGACATATCGCCTGAGACTGTCTCTTACGGGATGCGGTGTTACCGTCGGTAATACATGCATCGAGTTCTTTCGATGCAAGGAACAAGCGCATGTCTAGGGCCCACTCGAGGTAGTTATCCCCGGAGACGTGAAGGGCCTCGAATTCACATTTCTGAATGTTTGACATCTGAAACATGAGATTGATTTTGTTAGGGATTGTTTTGAGAAAATTTTGAATGCTGATGATGAAACTTTCTATTTTGAGAATATTTCTATTTTAGGAAAGTTTCTAAATTTGGAAAGTTTCTAATTTGGGTAATTTTCTAAATGAGGAAAGTTTCTATGTCGGGAAAATTTCTATATGAGGAAAGTTTTTATATGAGGAAACTTTCTATTAGAGGGAACTTTCTCGGAAATAGTAAATTTTAAAGGGTATGGTTTTAGTTACCCCGAACACGATGTCGGTTTAATAGCTGTGATTTAATCGGTTAAAGCCGAATATAATTTCGGTTAATGAGAACTAGGTTTAGCCGGTTTTAGGCGGTTTAGGAGGAACCCTAGGGGAGAATCAACAATCAAATAAGCTGCAACAAGCTTATTAAACATGAAGAAAATCGAATAGGTTTATGCCATAAACATGGCCAAAAACGGTTGTTAGGTTTTTGTAGATTAGGGTTTTATAAAACGAGTTTAAAACCTTTGAACATGCATAAACTTGTAATTTAAACAATCAATCAACAAGTTATCAATCAATCATCAGAGTATCAAACACTTTCAATCAATTAGAGATCGATTTTTTTTTTATAGGGTTTTGAAGTGTTTAAACAACCGGTTCTATGGCTTTCAGTTTTAGAAGATACCTTTTCCACCTTTGGATTTCTGACAGGCTAATGAAACTGGGAGCTAATAGACCTCAGTTAGCCGCTACAAATTCCAAGGATTGATCACCAAAACTGGAGAAGCTGCTGGTTGAAGAAGTAAAAACTCGGATCTGGTTTTTTTTTTTTTTTCGGTTGATCGTCGTGTACTGTAAGTGTGCGTGAGGGCGCGTCCGACGTTGGATCGACAAACGGTTTTCACCAGTAGATTCGTCGAGGGCTTCGATTTGATATGTAGATCGTCTTCTGGTTCCTCACGGTTTGGAAGATATGCGTCTTTTAAGTTTCGACTTGCTTTTAGGGTTTTGGTGGTGGCCGGATTTATTAGGGTTTTTCGCTCAGAGAGTCTTATCGTGCTGATAACGTGTTGTGAAAACTTAGAAACTTTATTAATCACTGGAATGTATATATAGAGTACATAGGGAATCTAGGTTAAGTACAATGCCCTGATGGACCTAATGGGCCGGTATAAGAGTCCATATATGATATGTGTTATAACATTGTTTTAATTTTGCGACACCAGGTAAGTAGGGACTGATGTCAACAGAGTTTATTACCTTGTCGTTGACTAGGCAGCGATACCAAAGTCTTGAATCCAAAATTAGGTTCTGCTTAATCACAACGCAAACCTTGAATCTGTTGAAAGTGGAATAACCAATTGTTAAGCATTTTCCTCTGGCTCGGTGATGGAACTCTGCAGGTACTTCTGTTCCGGGTAAGAGAGCCCACCCGCTAACAAACGATCGTCGGATAATTGCTCGACGTGCTTGTAGACCCAACTTGATGCAGTTAGTGAAAATGAGATCTGCTTTTGAAGTGTTTAAAGTGCCACTTACTCTCTCCAGTGATTCACAATCGTCTGCATATAGCTGTATGAGCGAACCAGGGAGCTCTGGCAAAGCCGCAAGTCTTTTGCAGCTTGATAGATGAAGGTATTCTAGATTATGAAGACCTTTGATGCAATCTGTAATCATCTCAATACCACTATCTCCTAGGTCTAGACTTTTTACGCTCGTGGGGAGATGTGTTGAGAAGGTCTTGAGATTTGTACAGCTAAATAGTTCAACAGACTCAAGACGAGAGCAATGCCTAAGTGATGCAGGCAATTCTTCTACTCTTGACGCATTTACGCTTAATTTCAAGATGCTGGTAGGTATATCTGGAAGAATTCTCAATCGTGACATTATCCACATTTTGATCAATTCAAGAGATGTCAACTTAACGAGACTTGGAATGACTTCTAAGCTTTTGCAGGAATCCATTTGCAACAGATTTGTTTTATCAAGATTCGCAATTGAGGATGGAAGCTCTTCCAATGCATCGCAGAAACTTATATCCAACTCCTCTAGATTTGTAGCATTTGAAAGATCTGGTAGTGCCTTCAACAGAGATGAGCCCTTGAAATCCATCTTCTTGAGATTTGCAAGCGTCTGAATGTAATAAAAAAAAAAAAGCAGAACATAGTGACTAATATTCATATATCAGTTGTCTTGTTTCCGATTAACCTGAGTTCCTTCCCATAGCTTCTCGAGATTGCTGTCCTGCATTTTGAGTTCAACGAGATTTTCTGTGCAAAATCTAAGAGGAAGACTCCTTCTTGGGTATACTTCCCAATGTAGTAAACTTACGCGACATGGAAACTCAAACTCCTCTGGAATGTGCAATTTTCCCTTTCCGGTGTGCCTACCATGGTAGACTTTCAAGAGGAAAATATTGCACATTCTTTCAAAAGCCCTCGCACTTATTGTCAATTCGTTGATCTCTGATACGTCAAATGATACACCTACAATTGATCCATTACCCTAAAAAATATTCACAAGAAAACTTGTTAGTGGCCAGACAGAACACATTGTAATGCAAAACCCCACAAATTGAAAACTTACCGCTGCATTTTCTAGAACATAACAAATCTCCTTGGGATCTACTAGAATCTGACGTTTCCAAGTCTCTTGTCTTGAAATGACTTGTCTAGCCATTACTTGTAGCAAACGGTGCATTACCACTCTACTTCCTCGATCTATATGTATGAGATATTTATTTGCTAAGTTTCTCAACCCAAGTCTAACCTCCGAGTTCGTTTTTGCCATCATTGATGTCACATGATCAATATGTTCATGATTGAAGAAGACTGCAACGTGGAGAAATAAAGCTTGGTCGTTCTCATATAAACTCTCATAGCCCACTTTCATTACACTCTCAATTCTTCTATCAAGACACCTTTTCAACCTTGGTAGTTCATCTATCCAGTCAGCATGGTTCTTTCCCCGAAGTAATGACCCCAAAACATGCAGACCCAATGGAAGATTACCACAAATATTTGCAACTTCATCCGCAAGATTCATAAACCCATCAGGTGGAGATATTTGTCTAAAAGCAGATAGACAAAAGATCATTAGAGCTTCTTCTTTTGATGGAAACCCCACTTGGTATATATCACTGATACCATGTTGCTGCAAAATCTCTTTGTTTTCAGTGGTAACGATGACCCTACTTCCAGCACCAAACCACATGGTATTAGCCAAAGCCTCAAGTTGATCTAGACTCTCCACATCATCAAGGGTGATAAGAACCTTCTGGTCGTTTAGCCTTTCTTGTATAACACCTAAATGGCCTATGATCATACTAGGTTGGCTCAAAATCTTTGAAAGAAGTTGCTCTCCCAACTGCTTCTTCATCTTATACTCACCATAACCAATCTTGTAGTTTTCCGGAAGGTCGTCCACAAAACAAGTAAGTTTAAACATGTTAGAGAGTCGACTATGTAAAGCTCTGGCAATGGTACTCTTACCAATGCCTGCAGGACCACAGATTCCAACAATCTTAACGCCATCATTATCTAAATCTAGCAAGGACTCCATTTCTCTCAAGTGGCCCTCAAGTCCCACCATGCCATCAAAATCCCTACATGGTGTAGCATTTAGTTTGTCTGAAACATCACTTGCAATCTTCTCAATCATTTCCGCTTCACTTTTCCTAACAAACAAGAAAGAAAAGAACCCATAAAGATAACATTCCTTTGTTCCCAATAGTTTATGACACACATCTCTAATATTCATTCAATAATAAATTATAATACTCATTTAAAAAAAAAAACATTTTCTAAATGATTTCAGTTATATTCTATTTGTACTGTAATTTTGCTCCTCTAATTTATCAGGAAGCACCATTATTTATCATAAGAAAAAATAACCTGTAATTAGTTAAAAACAAACCAGTTTTGGAAGTGTTCACCAGCGATGTTGCCCACATAGGTCAAAGCTTCGCTCCATTTTCTCCTCTCTTCCTTCGTTTTACGAGCACACGTTTTATGGAAAGCCTTCCCAAAATCTCCGGTTTGTTTCCGCACCTCAGATGGGTCTACTCCGTAGAAGACAGTCATCACTTTTTGCCCTCTAGCTTCTTTGCAATTCAGAATCTCCAATAGCTCATCCAAACACCAACTCGATGAAGCATAGTTCTTCGAGAGCAATACGACCGCGATCCTTGATTCTCTAATCGCTTGTGTGAGTGAAGGGGCGATGATCTGGCCTCTCTCGATCCCGTTGTCATCGAACATCGTAATCCCATTATAGCTAAATTGTTTGCGTAAATGACTAAGAAATGTTTTACGAACATCAGGACCGTGGAAGCTCGTGAAGACACGATATTTCCAGGTGAGAGGTGAAGAAGAAGAAGACATGAGAGAGGTTCTTGAGTGGTTCAGAATGAGGTATTTGTTAGAAACTTGTGTTTCTCTGAATAAACACAAGAACTTTCTGATTATCAGAAATATATTCTGATAAAACACTCTATTTTCTATACAGAATTTGATATAAAACAGAGTATGAAGTAAGAACAGAAACTGACTCTTTATTGAATCTGAAACTTGGTTTTTACATCACGTTTACAACATCTTAAATAGTTACATAACAGACACAACTCAACAGACACGATTAAACAAAGAGATGTGTCTTTTCTACTTGTGACTCTTAAAGAAATAACACTCCCTAACGTAACCGACACGACTCTTAACTTTATATAACACAAACTCAATTATAATCAACACTCCCTCTTAATTGAGTTTCGGTGTTACTCCAAGCTTCCTCCTTAGTTCTTCAAACCTTGAGACGCCAAGTGCTTTCGTAAGCAGGTCTGCAAGTTGAACTTCTCCTTCACAATACTTGAGTTGAATAAGGCCTTTTTGTTCTGCCTCTCTAACAAAATGATACTTGATCTCAATGTGTTTAGTTCTTCGGTGTTGCACCGGATTTCTGCCAATTGCAATTGCAGACTTGTTGTCGCAGAAAATTGGAACACCGTCTTGAGAAACTAAGCCAATTTCTCCCAAAAGCCTTTGTAACCAAATAGCTTGATTTGCTGCTGCACACACTGCGATATACTCCGCTTCCGCAGTTGATTGAGCCACTGTTTGTTGCTTGCTTGATTGCCAACAAAATACTGCAGATCCAAGAGTGAAAACATACCCAGATGTGCTCTTTTTGTCTTCATTTGAGCCTCCCCAGTCGCTATCTGAGTAACCGTATAACTCCGGATTGTTGACGCTTGTAAACTGAACTCCAAAATGAGATGTACCTTTGACATATCTGAAAACTCTCTTGGCTTCTTCATAGTGCTTTGTAAGAGGTGCAGCCATGTAACGTGAGAGATAAGAACTTGCAAACATTAAATCTGGCCTTGATGCACACAGATAAAGCAAGCCACCAACGATACTGCGGTACTTTGTCGCTTCATCATATTCTTCATCATTCTCATGGTTCTTGCCGTGTGGTGTAAGTGGAGTGCTCACACTCTTGCAATTTTTCATACCAAACTTCTCAAGAAGCTTGCAAGCATATTTTTCTTGTGAAAGAAAAATCCCATGATCATCTTGAATTACTTCTATTCCAAGAAAGTAATTCAGCAACCCCAAATCTGTCATCTCAAACTCCAACTTCATGTCTTCCTTGAATTTTTCAATGAGTTGAGTGTTGTTACCGGTGATGATGATGTCGTCTACGTACAAACTCACGATCATAATCTCTTTGTTTTTCCTCATCACGTACAGTGCCGCATCATTCATACTCCTTTGAAATCCATGTTGGAGAAAGTATGAATCAATTCTCCCATACCAAGCCCTAGGGGCTTGCTTTAAGCCGTATAACGCTTTTTTCAGCCTCAAAACTTTGTTTTCTTCACCTTCAACTATGAATCCAGGTGGCTGTGCAACATAGATCTCCTCTTCAAGTTCTCCGTTGAGAAATGCCGACTTTACATCCATTTGATAAAGTTTCCACTTCATTTGTGCAGCGAACGCAAGAACGACTCGAATTGTGTCATGTCTTGAAACGGGAGCAAACGTTTCAAGATAATCAACACCATATTCTTGAGAGAACCCTTTTGCGACTAACCTTGCTTTGTACTTGGTTGGATTTCCATTTGTATCTGTCTTGATGCGATATATCCACTTCACACCAATGATATTTTTCTTCTCTGGTTTTTCTACAAGATACCAAGTCTTGTTCTTCTCTATCATCTTAATTTCTTCATCCATGGCTTCTCTCCATTCCTTGATCTCAGAAGCTTCATCATATGATTGTGGTTCCTCCGACACCAAAAAACAAGCTTCATGTGTTTGTGCCGTTTCCACAAACTCCACCCTTGGTGCTTTTTGCATAATCTCAGTCATTGACTTATATTTCCTTGGTGGCTCCGAAGTCTCTCCTTTTTCTCCATTGTTTTCTCCATCACTGAGTTGAAAATGAATAGGGCTGGAAATTCCTTGAACTTTCTCCGTTTGTGGCTCTTGATCATTTATGGGCAAGACAAATTTTCTTTTGACTTCTTCTTGTCTTTCCCAATTCCACTTCTTTCCTTCTTCAAATGCCACGTCTCTTGATATCTCCACCTTTTCATTTTCTAAAATGAGCACTCTGTAGCCTTTTGATTGGTTACTATAACCAATGAAAATTCCACGTTTAGCCTTCACGTCTAATTTGCTTCTCTTCTCATCGGGTACATGAACAAGGCATAAACTTCCAAATATCTTCAAGTGTCCAACCGCCGGTTTATGCCCACTCCATTTTTCAATAGGTGTGATGTCATCTTTGATGGCTTTTGTTGGTAAACGATTTTGCAAATATGCTGACGTATACACCGCCTCTGCCCATAATTTATGTGGTAATCCTTGATCTGTAATCATGGTTCTCGCCATCTCCACAAGCGATCGATTTTTACGTTCCGCAATACCGTTTTGCTGAGGCGAATACGGCACCGTCACTTGTCTCTCGATTCCACATTCTTGACAAAATTTGATGAATTCACGAGTAAATTCACCACCACCATCTGATCGTAACTTCTTAATATGACATCCCGATTGAGTCTCCACCAAGGCTTTGAACTTTTTGAACATTGAGAAAGCTTCCGACTTGTAATTGATAAAATATACCCAACACATGTGAGTATAATCATCCACAAATAGCAAGAAGTACCGGCTTCCATCAAGTGATGCAGTTTGCATCGGGCCGCAAATGTCGGTGTGAACGATCTCAAGTTTCTCCTTCGTTTTTGTTTGAAACTCCTTTGGAAAAAGCATCTCTTGCTTGCTTCCCAAGTTTGCATGCTCCACACATTTCTTTGTTCACTTGAAATTTTGGTAATCCAATTACCATCTCCTTAGTTTGCATTTGTTGAAGCCTTGAATTGCCCACGTGACCAAATCTTCTATGCCATATTTCTGCTGTTTCTTGCTCACTTGTAATCATCGCCAACTCTTGTGATGGATTCCATTTGATTGGAAAACTCTTGTTCATCATTTGTATCTCCATGATTTTCCTTCCCTTAGAATCTGAGATTAGGCACCGCTTGTTCCCAAACATCATACTATTTCCACCAGATATGAGTTGTGGAACGCTGATTAAATTCTTCTCCAAACCGGGCACCAAAAATACGTCTTTTATTACTCGCTTTCCTCTGTTTGTCATGACGTTAATATCTCCTTTTCCGCTTGTCATGACAATTTCTCCGTTTCCAACTCTTATTGGAATCTTGATACTTCTATCAAGTCTTGTGAAGTAACTCTCTTCTTTTGTCATGTGATTAGTGCAACCACTATCCACAAGCCATACATCATCTTTTATGGTTGTGGGTGTTTCTTCTCTTGCACTAAACAACATGTGATCTTCAGTATCTTCATCTTCAAGGCTTATGTGTGCCTTTTCAACCTTCTTTGAACGACATTCTCTTGAAAAATGCCCAACCTTGCCACAATTATAGCATTCCTTCTTGTTCCATGAATTTTTGCTTTGATCTCCCTTCTTTGGTTTCTTCCAGCAATTAGATTCTGTGTGATTGTCTCTTTTACAGAATCCACACCATTTTTTGTCTTTCCCTTGATACCCACGGCTTTTGTTATTCTCTGGTCTGAACCCAGATTTTTCTCCTCCTGAACGAACATTAAACGCCCCTTCCGTTGATCGTTCGTCTCGAAGAGATACACGCTTCTCGTGTGCTTTCAACGTGCCTATCAATTCTGTAACTGATAGCACAGTTAAATCTTTGGTTTGTTCCAGCACCGCTACAATGCTATCAAACCTTTCGGGTAGTGAAATCAGAATCTTTTGGACTATTTGATAGTCTGATTTCTCTTCTCCATGAACTCTAAGTTGATTTCCCATCTCAATCAACTTTGTCGTAAAAGTGTTGATATTGTCACTTTCATTCATCTTCAAATTCTCATACTCCCTTCTAAGAGATTGAAGTTTTATCATCCTCACTTGTGGTGATCCTTGAAATTCGGTTTGCAGAGAATCCCAAGCCTCCTTTGATGTTTGTGCTGGTGCTATGCGAGAGAAGATCTGATCTGAAACTGCAGTTTGTAGAATTTGCAGTGCCATCAAATCGTTTGTTGATGCTTCCTCCCACTCTGTTTTCAATTGGCGCACTTCCGGTGTCTCTTCCGTTTGCGTCGGTTTGGTCGGAACTCCGTTTTCCACCACCGTCCATAACTTTCTGGTCTTCAAGATGGTTGTCATCTTAATACGCCAGAAGTCGTAATTGTTCCCATAAAAAATGGGAATCACTTGTTGCGATGTTGCTTCCATCGCCGCTTTTGCTTGATCTTTGTGCAGTTACTTGTGCGATTGTTGCTCTTGCAGAATTCTCTCTTGATTGTGCTTATTTTGGCCCTCAGATCAATAAAGCTCTGATACCATGTTAGGAACTTGTGTTTCTCTGAATAAACACAAGAACTTTCTGATTATCAGAAATATATTCTGATAAAACACTCTATTTTCTACACAGAATTTGATATAAAACAGAGTATGAAGTAAGAACAGAAACTGACTCTTTATTGAATCTGAAACTTGGTTTTTACATCACGTTTACAACATCTTAAATAGTTACATAACAGACACAACTCAACAGACACGATTAAACAAAGAGATGTGTCTTTTCTACTTGTGACTCTTAAAGAAATAACACTCCCTAACGTAACCGACACGACTCTTAATTTGATCTGGCCTCTCTCGATCCCGTTGTCATCGAACATCGTAATCCCATTATAGCTAAATTGTTTGCGTAAATGACTAAGAAATGTTTTACGAACATCAGGACCGTGGAAGCTCGTGAAGACACGATATTTCCAGGTGAGAGGTGAAGAAGAAAAAGACATGAGAGAGGTTCTTGAGTGGTTCAGAATGAGGT